TTGTGGCACGTGGGCTCACTAGTTGTGGCTCGCAGGCTCTAGAGTGCAGGCTCAGTAGCTGTGGCGCATGGGCTTAGTTGCTCCGCGGCATGTGGGATCTTCCCAGACCAGGGATTGAACCCGTGTCCCTGCATTGGCAGGCAGATTCTTATCCACTGCGCCCCCAGGGAAGCCCACCCTGATAGTTTTTTATGGTACTTGTTTTCAGCAAAATTATTTTATTTGTTTGTTGTTTATTCTTGTCTACCCTCACTTCATTCAGGTCTCTGCTCAAATGTTGCCTCCACGGAGAGGCCTTCCACGACCACCCAAGCTAAGTATTGCCCCTCACCCATCGTGTTTTATTTCATTACACAGCTTATTATTATTTTATAGAGCTAGTCATTACTTGGTGTGCGCGCACACACACTTATTTATCTTCCCCACTAGACTGTAAACTGCATGAAAGCAGCTTGCCTACCTTATTCATTTTAAAGGAAAGCTCCATGGAGGCAGGGGTTTTGTGTGCGCTGTTCAGCAGTGAACTGTTGTGAACATTACCAGCGCTTAGAATGATGCCAGACGTAGTACACACTCAGTGAATATCTGTGGCAGGAATAAATGAAGAGTGCTGAAATTGAGTAGAATCTCAATAAGCAGTGATGGGAGAGAAGAAAGAACATTCTCAAACAGTGGAATAACAAAAATAAAAGCAGAGATACTGGAAAGTGTGTATTTCAGGAAAGATGAGAACTTTGGTTTGTTGGAGTGTAAAGAAAGTGATGGGCGGTAAGTAGGAATTAGGTCAAGAGAGGCAGATTGAGGCCAGATCATGGAGGACCTTAAAAGCTATGTTAATGGGTTTATTCAGCTAGGTAATAGGGAACCATGGAAAGCTGTTGAGCAGGGTGTTCTGAACTGTACTTTGAAGGATGCATAAAAAGTGTCCAAAGAGTTACTACATTTTTAACTCCAGTGAAAATTTTGTAACTATCCTAGTCACAATTGGTTTAGACAGAGGGATGCCATTAGCAAAGACTAGTGAACTGAAGAGGAATTCTAGTGTGGTTAATTGATTGAATCATTTATTCATCAAGGATTGGCGTGCCTGGTAAGAACCAGGTTCTGCCAGTGTAAGGGGAGAGACATTTAAATGTAAAACAGGGTGTTAATGTAAATGTAAAACCAGGATCCCTTACCTTGGGCTCACTGTCTAATATGGGAGATAAACCTGTAAACCAATGATTACAGTTCAGGGTGATCTGTGCTAACAGCGCTCTGTGCAAGGCACTGGGGCCAGAGCCGGGGATCAGCCAGCTCTTCCCAGGGTGTCACGAAGATTGCTCATATCCCAGGGCCAGCTTGGAAGGTGAAGGGAAATGAAAGCCGAGGGACAGTATGCAATCCAGAGGGGTACAAGAGCATGGCTATCTGGAGAACAGGAAGCAGTGGCTCTGGGGGCTGAGTGTATGGGGGTGGGGAGATGGGCAAGGGACCCGGACATGATGAAAGGTGAGAGGTCAGTAAGCTGGGAGGGGCAGGTGACGTAAGGAGTTTGAAGAGGAGGACTATTTCCTACCATTCCCTGACTTCCGCTTTTAGCAGAAATGGTCTCTTTGTGGCCCTGACACACCCAGTTTTCCCCCATTTGTTCATTTTTTTCCAAAAAAAATATTTAATAAGATTCTATTATATGCCACACACTATTCTGTGAATTGAAGATATGGTGGTAAATAAGGTAAACTCCTTGTGGAGTTTATAGTCTAGCGAGGAAGACACATGCCTGTGTGTGTGTATATATACATATATATATATATGTATACATACTATTTGTGTGTATTTATTTTTTGCCAAGTTATGATTAATTTCATGAAAACATACGTGTGTGTGTGTATATATATATAATTTTTTTTGACAAGTTAATGATTAGTTCTATGAAAAATCAAACTTTGTAAGAATTAAAATGTGGAGTGAGAGGATTTCTATTTCGCTTAGGTGGTCATGGAAGGTCTTTCTGTGCTGTGGGAAGTGACATGTGAAAAAGACCTGAAGTGAGGAGCAAGCCATGTGAATATCGTGGGGAAGAGTGTTTTAGGCAGAGGGAACAGCAAGTGCAAAGGTCCTGAGACAGGAGATATTCCAGGAAGAGCAAGGAGGACAGGGAAGCTGGAGTACAATGCATGAAGGCAGAGGGGTGGGAATGGAGGGAGAAGTCAGGGAGCAATCATGGTAGGCTTGTAAGTAACAGACAAGGTTATGGATTTCATTCTAAATGTGATGAGTCATTGGAGGGTTTTGAGCTGGGGATTGATGTAATGTGACCTACATTGTGTTAGAATCACGCTGACTGCTTCTGAGAAGTAGGCTCTTAATGGGGCAGGTGGCGGTCAAGGGATAAGTTGGGAGACAGTTGCTGCGGTACAGGTGAGAGATGATGGTGGCTTGGTACAGCTGAGCAGCAGTGCTGTTGGTGAGAAATGGTTAGATTCCACATATATTTTGCATGTGGAGTCAATACAATTTGTTGATGGAGTGAATGTGGGGATTTAGGGAAAGGGAGAAGTCAAAAGTGTTCCCAGTGTTTTTTACTGGAGAAACTGGGTGACTGGTGGTGCCATTTACTGAGACGAGAGACACTGACAGGAAAACCGAGCAGGGGGTGGAGAGCAGGGGAGTGAAGACTTTTCATCTGGAGAAGCCTGTCAGACCCCCAAGTGGAGATGCCATCTGGGCAGCTCGTTGCAGGAGCCGGGAGTTCCGGGGTGAAGTCAAAGGTGGAAGTAGACATTTGGGTGTCCGAATATAAATGGCAGTTAAATGCTGTCTCTGTCCTGACCACCTTTTCAGGACCAGAGTCAGTGCTGCCTCTTCCGTGAAGCCTTCCTTGACCATCCCAGGCCTTTCCTTTGCCTTCCTGTCTTTCCTTTAAGCTGAAGCCCTTTGTTTGGGTTGCTCGGGGAAGCTTTGGCTTTCGCCTCTGATTTAGATCTCTTGGAGCCTCACAGGGCCTTGACTGGGTAGGTGGGCCTGGCTCTCCTTGAGGTGAGGGTGCTCACCTTCTATGTGCAGAGGCCAGGTGGACCATGTTTCCCAAGGCTCTATATGGTTGGTGTCATGGGTCCACCAGACAAGACCCTGTTCTTCTTGTCGTTAGAGCCTAGACCCTCAGGGTCCTCAACACGCATTAGGGTGGATTCAAAACATCATCAGGAAAGCCAAAGACAAAAGGACACGTATTGTATCTATATGATATACCCAGAATTGGCAAATCCAGAGAGAGAGGGGCTTCCCTGATGGCACAGAGGTTAAGAATCTGCCTGTCAATGTAGGGGACACGGGTTCGAGCCCTGGTCCGGGAAGATCCCACATGCCGCGGAGCAACTAAGCCCGTGTGCCACAACTACTGAGCCCACGTGCCTAGAGCCCGTGCTCCACAACAAGAGAAGCCACCGCAGTGAGAAGCCACCGCAGTGAGAAGCCCGCGCACCACAAGGAAGAGTAGCCCCCGCTCACTGCAACTAGAGAAAGCCCGCACACAGCAACGAAGACCCAACACAGCCAAAAATAAATTTAAAAAAAATTAAAAAAAAAATCCATATAGAGAGAAAGCCAAGTAGTGGTTGCCAGGGGCTGGGGGTGGAGTGGGGTGGAGGGGGATTGTCCAGAGACTGCTCAACAGGTCCAGAGTTTCCTTTGGAGTGATGAAAAAGTTCTGAACTAGATCGCGCTGATGGTCGCACAACGTTATAAATGTACTAAATACTACTGAATTGTAAACTTTAAAACGGTGAATTTTGTGTTATGTGTATTTTACCACAATGAAAAAAAACACCAAGACATGTTGTCAGGGATGACAGTTTCTACAAGCTTCGCATTCTGTTCTCTCTTTTGGAACCTCGCCCCCGTTCCACTGGCTCTTTCTACTTGGGGGCAGGGCTGGCGGCCAAGGGCAAGGCACAGGGATGGGAGAGGTTGGAGGTTTGCGGCTGGGAGCTGGCACTGACCTTCTTCAAAAGGCAGTCTGTCCCTTTGTAGGGAGAGGTGGAGGAAGGCAGTGTTGGAATGGCAAAGCAGGGTGGGTTTATTCCCACCTAACCTGGGTCTGGGATGCACATGGGGTGAAACAAGGGCTGGTCACAATGTGAGAACTAACTAAGCTTAGGGAATCACCATGTAGATGGAAACTGAAAAGACCCTGGAGACCCTGCCTAAAGATCCCTACATGGTGATCCCTAAGCTTAGCTAGTGGTGAACCAAGCTGTTCACCACTGGTATTTGGAAATGCCCCGCAGCGGTCCAGGACACAGGCAGGGGCTGGGGCTGGGGGCTGAGGGCTGAGGCAGATGGCCTGGGAGCCAAGCTGTATCCTGGAGGAGGGTGTGCGGTAAACTGCTAGCGTATGGAATATCAGGCACTGGCTGAACTATTGGTGCAGACTCAGTCTGACTCGTGGGTGGAACAGAAAGCTGCTGAATTTGTCTGTCAGAAAGTACCATAGCCCAGGAATCTGCTCAGCTCTTCACATTTCTTCGTGTGTGTGTGTGTCTGTGTGTGTGTGTGCATGTGCATGCATGCGTGCAAGTGTGTTTGTGTGTCTAGTGGAGGGACAGGTATCTCCTGGTCCAGGGGCTGAGTAAATGATGGAAAGCCTCTTATTGGCCTCTTTTTGACCCTGGGACGATAAGCAGCGATTATTATTCTTAAGAGAATTCTATGGCAGATTAGCAGAGAAAGTGCAAAACACAGGCAGTTTGGTGCTTCCAGAATATAATCTCAGTGACTTTTCAGGCAGCACTAAAGCCTTTTCGGGTTTCATCCAATCTTATCTCCCATGTTTCTCCAACTGGAATCTTTTCCCTGATACTAGACTAAGCCTTACTAACTTCAACCTCCTCACGTTTACATGTAAGAATCTCTTTGGCCAAATCCTATCCATCCTTCAAGAACAGCTCAAACCTCACCTCCTCCATGAAGCCTTCCTGGTTTCCTCTAGCCCACAGAGATCTTTCTCTCCTTTTCAGAATTCTTCAAAGGATTAAAGTTGCTTTCACTACTTGGTTAAATCAGCTTTTCCCAAGAGAGATATTTCAGAGATGTCACCACTATATGCAGGCACAGAGTGGATGTCTGACCAACATCTGGTGAGTGGAAATTTATGCAATCCTAAAGATCAAACAATCAGTGTTTTAAAAAGAAGAAAAAAAGTGAGGCAGGTAGAAATGTGTGTGGTCAATGATTAATGAGCCCCCCCAAAGAGAGTGCTTTAGGAACAAGACAGAGCAATACTGTCATTGGCAGCAAATGTGAAATTGTGGCCCTTGGGGAGAAGGGAGGCTGCCCTTAATTAATGGGTAGCTGGAAAAAGAAAAGACAGCGTCGTGAGAGGCTGAGATGGGGAGCAGGCTGAGAAAACTTAGAATGAAGATACTGTGTGATGTTGGCAATTTAAAAATGTTACAGTTAGCAATGAGTAATAGATGACTGATCTAGTGGAAAATGCAGGGTTGGTTCTTTAGGAAGGTAAAAATGGGGTCTGTGAAGTGATAAGGAAGTTAACTGTGGGTAGCTATATTGGAAGATACAATGTCAGTTTGTTTACCAATCTCAGTGTTGTCTGTGACTATGAATGGAATTGCTCTGTGGAGTGCTGGAGCCTTAAACAGCCCTAGGTATTGTTTACAGGTTCCACATGCTTCCAAGCTGAAGTGTGGTGCATCAGTTAAACACAGGATGTGGGGGTAGGCTGCCTGGGCTTAAATCCTGGCTCAATTACCACTTATGGTACTTTAGGAATGCTACTGAACCTCTCTGTGCCTCAGTTTTTCTCATCTGTAAAATGGGGTTAATAATTGCACCTCCCTTATAGTGCTGTGAGGATTCAATGAGGTGTAATTTACGTAAAGCATTCAGGAGTGTCTAGCATGTTGCAGGAGCCAATATACTGTTAGTTATTATTACCATCAGTTGGCAGTGTCTTCAAGGCTTTGAGGATGGGACTGACGGAAGAGCTGGTGTTCTTTCCTGATGGAGGCAGTGAGAAGTCATGGACCAATGTGTACTCATCTGACCTCAAAGGCTTAGAAAACCCCGATATTTCAAATATTTGCAAAAATGTTTGCAACATTCAAAGGGTGAATTCCAAGAACCTCATCCTGGGCTTATGGGTTTGAGGGGCTGGTGCTGTTTGTGTGACTGTCCGTCACCACGTGTTACCGGTGGGCTGGATGCCTGCACCTGGGGACAGGAGGAAAGGTAGAGATTGGCTGCTGGTCTCCAGACAGGACCCTTAGGGATGCCATGAGGGTGTGATGCAGTGGGCCAAAGACTATTGTCTGGTGACTGCAGATCCCTGACCAGTCCAGCGTGTGGTGGGTGTTTAGTGGAAGAGAGGGAAGAGTGGTAGGGGCATCCTTCGGGCCTTTAGTGCCAGCCTGACCTGGGTTCAAATCGGGGTTGGCCTATCACCACTTATGTGACTTTAGGAAGCAACTTAACTTCTCTGAGCCTTGGAACACGGGAGGAATATCTAAGATAATGTATATAGAGAGCCTGGCACATAGTAAGACTAAGTGTTAATTCCCTTTTCCTTGGTTCCATCATTTGTGAAATGTAGATTAAAAAAATCTTGTGAGGATTTTTATCATAATTATAGATAATAGTTATTCATTCATTCAACAGATATTTTTTTTTTAGTGTTGACTGGGTGTCAGATGCTGTCCTAAAGGCTTAGGGCATATCAGTGAATAAAACAGCAAAGATACTGGCCCTTTGGTAGTTTAAATTTTAGCAAGGGAAGATAGGCAGTAAACTAACATAAATGAATAAAGTTTCTAGTGTGTAAAAAGATGTTAAGTGCTGTGGAAAAAGAAAACACCAAAAGTAGGATCAGGGAGCTTGGGAGTGCTGGGTGGGGGGCAGTGTGTATATTAAATAAGATGGCCAAGACAGGCCTCTTATTGACAAGGTGGTGTTTGAGCACAGACTTGAAGAAGAAGAAGAGGAACTTAGTCATGATGATGTTTAGGGGAAGAGCATTCCTTGCAGAAGAAACAGTAAGTGCAAATGCTGTGGGGCTGCGCCTGGCGTGTTGCAAGAACAGCACAGAGGCCAGTGTGGCGAGAACAGAGTAAAGAGACAAGAGAAGGAGACGAAGTCAGGGAGTAACAGGGAAACCAGACTGTGTAGGGCTTTGCTGCCATTGGTGGGGGTGGGGCTTTGGCTTTTACCCTAAGTGAAATGAGGGTGCATTGCAGGCTGTCGATCAGAGAGGAATGGTGTGATCTGCTTATTTAAGAGGATTGCACTGCACGCTGGCTACTGTGTCCAAAGTTGACTGAGAGAGGCAAGGATGCAAACAAGGAGACCAGTTAGAAGGTTACTGCAGTGTCCAGGTGAGAGATGATGGTGGCTTGAACCACGGTGGTAGGAGTGGTTGGTGAGAAGCAACTAGGTCTTCTTATATTCTGGAAGGTAGAGTCAGTAGAAATCACTGATGATTGGATGTGAGGACTAAGAGGAAGATAGGAATTAAGGACAGACTGAGTAACTAGGAGGATGGAACTGCTATCAGTTCAGAAGAATGTGGAACAGGTTTGGATGGGAAAAATTATGAGTTCACATTTGGTCATGTTGAATTTGAGCTGTGTATTAAATATCCAAGTGGAGAAGTCATGTAAACAGCTGGCTACATTCATTAGAAGTTTGGGAGAGAGATCTGGGCTGAGATATAAATTTGGGAGTTGACAATATATAGATGGTAATAATTAACACCATTAAAGACTGGATGAGGTCTCCAAGGGGGAGAGTGTAGACCTACAAAAGAAGAGGACCAAGGACCAAGTTTTAGGGCCTCCAACTTTAAAAGAACCAACAGAGGAAGTTGAGGGGGAAATGATTCATGAGGTAGAAGGAAAACCAACGGAGTGTGCTGTAATGGGAGCCAAAGGAAGAAAGGGTTTCAAGGTGGAAGGAGTGATCAACTGTGTCAAATAATGTGATGGGTCAAGTATAGTAGTTATCTATTGTGTAACAGATCACTCCAAAACTTAGTAGCTTAAAAGAACAAATGTTTATTATCTCATAAAGTTTCTGAGGGTCAGGAATCTGGGAGTGGCTAAGCTGAGTGGTTCTGACTCAAGATCTCTTGCCAGGTTACCATCAAGCTGTTAGCTGGGGCTGCAGTCATCTCAAGGCTCAGCTGGGGCTGGAGAATCCTACTCCAGGCTCACTCTTACAGTTCTTAGCAGTCCTCAGTTCCTCACTGGTTGTTGGCCAAACAACCCATTTCCTCACCATGTGGGCTTTTCTGTAGGCTGTCTGAGTGGCCTCATGACATGGCAGCAGCATCTCGCAGAGCAAGTGATCCAAGGGAGAAAGACAGAGAGATCAAGCAAGAGAGCATCGACGATGGTAGTCATAGCCTTTTACAACCTAATTTTGGAATGTCATACCGTCACCTCTGGATGCTCTTGCTCACACAGACCAAACATGGCGCAAGGTGCAGGAGATTACACAAGGTGTGAATGCCAGGAGGACGGGGACATCATGGAAGTTGGCTACCACATCGAGTATGACAAGAAGAATTGATCATTGGATTTAGCAACGTGGAGGTCATTGGTGACCTTAACAAAAGCCACAAAGAGAAATGTTTGATTACAGATGGTATAAGAAAGGGTGGGAGGAGAGGAACTAAGGCAGTCAGTATACAGCTCTTTTGAAGTTTGCTGAAGAGGGAAGCAAAGAAATGGGGTAACAGCTGGTGAAGAAAGTATTTTTTATAAGGTGAGAGAAATAGCACTATGTGTGTATGTTGATGGGAATAGGACAACAGAGAGTGAAAAATTGTTGATGTATTATAGAAGAGAAAGAATGACTGGAGCATGGTCCTTGAGTAGGAGACGGAGATATGAGCTTGTGTCAAGGAAGAGTGGACTTTAGCTAGAAGCATGCTGGTTTCAGGAAGACACACCACATGGTAGGTGGGTAGATATGGTTATGGGAGTTTGTGGAGTTGTCTTTTTTAAAAAAAATTATTTATTTATTTTTATACAGCAGGTTCTTATTAGTTATCTATTTTATACATATTAGTGTATATATGTCAATCCCAATCTTCCAATTCATCCCACCATGGGGAGTTGTCTTCTGATCATTCCTTTTTCTGAAGTGAAGTGGGAAGCGAGGTCATCAGCTAGGCTGGCTAGATGGTATATATTTTTAAAAATTGCGGCTTTGATACCTTTGATGACTTTGATGATGGTGGGTAACGATGGCTGCAGTTAAGGCACCTTCCTCACGATTCCTTTTGCTTGTGGTCAAAAGGTAGAACTTATGTTCTCATAACTTGTCCAGATGGTGGGGCATCTGCAAAGTCACGGTACTCTTTGCAAATTAACACAGAAACAAAGGTCTATTTAACTCCAAATAAATAGTGTATGCTAAAACAGATAAAATCACCTACACATTCTTACATAGACAAGAGGTACCAGATCTCAAGAGTTTAAGAAAACAATTACAGGGGAGAAATCTTAATATTGAGGAAATTCTTTTCATTAACTAATTTATTTTCTGGGAATCAGGAGAAGACTGGAGTCTCCTTATTTCAGGAGTAGAACATACCTGATCAGCCTGCAGCCTGGTTGGAAAATATCTGTAGTCAACCTAGCGAATGACTGGCTGGGACTTCTAGGGTAGTTCAGAGCCCTGAAGATAGACAGGCTTTCTGTTTCAAGATGAGGGAATTATAGAGCTGACCAAATAGACTGCATAATGAAAAAGCACAGGGACTTGCTGGAGTTCTCAGAATGTCTCTGAAAGAAGCAGGAGCATCAACTAACCCCCACGCCCCCGCCGCAAGCTCCCAGCAGGGCTTACATGATCAAATCCTCTCCTCTTATTAGATCTCACTGGAATAAATAGTGGTTAGGACTCTGCCTTGGACCCCTAAGCAGACCAGCCTCCGACCTGGGCCAAGTGACTTGGTCTCCTCTTGAGAGGAGAGGCTAGGAAGGCTCTAGGAGGAGGGAGGACAGTGAGAGAAGCTTTTGAATGGACCACACCTGTGATGCTTAGAATACAGCTTTTAAGACCTGGCACCCCTCCCTCTACCTTCTCCTCGTCCTCTTTTCCCCCTGCCTGGCTCCTC